ACAAAAGAAAACAAAAAAGAGAAATGACAGGCACTGAAAATAAAGGTAAGACAATTACTTAGCAGCATCTTCAAGGTTGGTTTCTTCCTCGACAACTACAGGAGCTGGTGTCATCACATCTCCAACAAGCTTCCCATTGGTTTTGCTGAGTAGCTTTTGCACTGCATTGAAAGTCTGCAAATACTCTTATCTGATCAATATGATATGCTAATACAAGAACATTACAAAATACGAAAACAAGAGACATATAAAAACAATTCAATTGAAAAGGTTTATAACCCACACAAGTCCAAGTCAAACTAGGGAACCAAATGTAAGATTAACATAAGTCTACCATATCCATATTCCCTATAACGGTAGCTTTTAAGTGCATACACTCATAACAATCACAAGATACAATTAGCTGATAATTTGTGCATGGTAATTGCTCAAATCAAAACAAATTATTCGTAAAGTTCAATTCACACTATATCTACTGCTGATAATGTGAAACAGGCAAATGAGCACAGCGAGAAAAAGAAAATATGAATCGAGTGTTTTGAAAAGCATTCAGGTTCAAATGTTAACAGGAAAAGAGAGGGCCACATACTTTCCAGGTGCTGTCAACTTCAGGGAACATGACATTTTCTGTTGTTCCACTACCTATTAGATAAGCAAGAAACAAGCAAATAAGATTTCAGGGTTGAGAGAAGAAGCTTTTTGAATCATTTCACAGCGAGCGTGCTATCTCGCAAACGAATGAGACAGAAGATCATCATAACATAGATATTTTCCAGGCTTTAAGCCACCATGTGATCAAGTAGCTTTCTTCTTTCTCCACTTCAAAGAGAGAAATTCAAAAAACCTTGAAGACAACAGAAACCAAAGTGATGTAGTTGGCCCATTTACCAGATATGGAGTCCAAAGCCAACAAGTCATAATCTGAAACAAGCCCAACCTGCAGCAACAAAGACTCCTTCATAAACATCCAACTAAACTAAACCAACCTATTTCTCAAGTTCCCTTTCCAAACTTAAGATCTAAATACACAAGTGGATACTAACCAATTTCCAGTCTTCGTCTATCACAGGAAATCCTGTGATTCTCTTCTCCACAAGGATCTCCAAAGCTGTGGCGAATGGAAAAAGAAAAACTCTTACCACAGAGCATCGCACGTTTCAAGCAATCCGATGGACTTTAGATGATCGCAAACACTTACCTTCATCGACAGTAGTCGTAGGTTTCACAACGTGCAAGTCTTCCTTCTTTGTCATGAACTCACCAACAGTGTACACTCCACTTTTTGGCTACAGAAACATTTCAAAAACTTCCTAAGCTTAGATATGCTCTCAAACTAATTCGATGATCAAAACCCAAAATGCAGGACATCTAGAACAAGAATTGCAATCAATTATTCAACCAATAGGTGCTCAAATTCACAAAAAAGTTCCAATCATGTATACATTAAACAAATCAAATTCAGAAAGTGGTCACTATCTCATCACTCAAGAGACTTCGCTTCTTCAAATCAAATGTGAAATTTCACCAGCTCTGATCTATCCTTATAACTAGTATACATACAGAATCGGAAACAAGAAACCTAAACCACCTGATCATTACCAAAATCCCCAGAAACCTAAGAAACAAACGATCACATGCATAACGAAATTTCCCCAAAATCCAAACCATACCGAAGCGGAATTCGCCATCAACGTTGCACCGGCGGCGGAAGAAGCTGAAGAACGACATAGTGATTTGGAAGGGAAGGTGAATTGGTGACGGAGATGGACGGAGAGAAATCTCGGTGGAAGAAGAGACGGCGAAGAAGCAGAGGAGGAGGAGGATGCGCGTAAGCGCGTGATGGAGAGTGAAGTAGCGTGGAGGACGGCGTCCATTGGCCGTCAGAGAGAGAGATCGCCGGAAGTATAGAGAAAAGTGACGGAGGAGATATCTGCGTGTCGTCACCGCCGCTCAAAGATTCGTTGTATTGGGAAAAGCGAAGTGTGACTGACTTGACTTGGCTTTTTTTTCTTTTCATCATCCTTTTAAATTTGGTTCCAATAAACCGAACCGGTTTTTATTTCAAACCAAACCAGAAAATTGGATAAAGAATCTAACCGATCTTGATTGATTTTTATCATATTTCTTTGTTCTATATCCAGACCAACATCTGTTGGATACACTTTTAAATTTTGATAGAGGAAGAAAAACAAATACACCTCTATTTCATAGTTATATAAAAATTTGAAATTTCATAGAGGATGATATTGGTGATGAATTACCGTGAAAACACACAAAAAACAAAACAAAAAGCAAATATTTGTTTTAGTTTCGATTCGAATATATATCTTCTGTAATTACTTTTTTTTTTTGTATACGCTCGTTAAATGAAATATAAAGCATTTCGCCAAATGGGAATTACGAATTGCCTTGATAATAATTGCATATTGATATTGAGGTTGGTTGGATATTAAGGTATGGAGAAGAAAAACACATACTAGTCAGAATATGCAAAGTTACCACAAGCCAAATCTGGTTTTCATGTATGCACTTCAAAGGTGTGGTGGTAAGGATATATATTGGTACGTCTGGTTTGATTTAGAACTCACAAATTTGATCAATAAGAGAAAATCACAACAATATTTGGATAATAGTTTGTATATATGACACTTTGATGGGTCGATGCAGAAATTTTCATTTGTCAGTATCATCTTGTGGACATGTTCTAGGAATTCAAAACACGATTGTGGATGCAGTATCAATAAAAGCCTATGAATTTGATGTATTATCCTGCCAATGTGCTTGATGATGCATACGTCGTATGAAACTTAAACGTATGAATGAAGCCAAACATTTGAATCAATGATAGAAATGTTAACAACAAAAATCAGCAAAATATAGAAACATCGTAATAGAATATACATTAGTATTGATTATGGACGTTATACATTTTTGCTTTATTAAAGAAAGTTAGATCATCTTTATACTATTTTAGTTTTTTTTTCATTTATTAAAGCCTTTCATTGTACTCAAAGGAATTTGCCTTTAATGACTCTCGATTTGGTGTTTTTTAAATTTTAATCGCTCAAGTTGTTTGCGTTGTCCATTTTATTTTGTTTTTGCCTAATGTTGTTATCTCTTTCTGCGACATAAAGAGAAAACTTAACCAGGTTTCTATTTATTTCATATTTTTTCTCCTCGTAAAAAACATTTTTTTTTTAAACTTACTCCTCGTCAAAACTTGTAAATAAAACATTTCTATATGCAAAGGATAATCTATTGTAGACAAATGATTTCTTTTTACTGTATGAAATAATCCATATAAAAACAGTGAATTACAATATACAAACTATCATGTTACATGTACCTTATAAATTAAATTTTCATATCCAGACACTGAACGTCAACATTATTTTCAATATATAGTTTTTGAGGTTCAAACCTTTGGTTTTGATTGCATCAAAAATCTTTTTATCACTACTGTGGAATTAATTAACCATATAAGACTAAAGTCTCTCGTTCTTTCATATCATTTTACATGTAAATTTCTTCCTCTATAAAGAAATATGAGATATGCTATTTTAGTGAAATCCAGCAGTTTCTTGTATTTTCTCATTTTAAAATGTTTTTTCTTTTCTTACAACTACCCTTAATGGAGATATTTTTTCTTCAAGACTTCAAAACGAAAGAATCATAATGCATCTCTTACCTAAGCCTCAGTTTGGCCCGACCTATCTCATCCATCATCTTATTTATTTATTTATTTTTGTCTCGA